TACAACGTTTCGACAAGGTTTTGTCATCATCAGGTATGACAAAACCTTGTCGAAACGTTGTACATTTGCTGTCATGTTAAAGTTATATTAAAGTTTTTCTTCATTACCCATTTAAGCCGTCTCCAGCCATTATTAGTCTCAAAGTGGGTTCCTCGTCATCGAATTTGAATATTATGATATGATTGAGAATGATGACAATGAAGAGGCTAATGAAAAGTGACCAAGAAAAGGCAGAAAGAGAAGAAATACATGATTTTTAAACCTCTCAAAATTATATTTGAGAAATCACTAAAAAATATAAATCTTCTAGTAAATGGAAAGAAAATAGATTTTTCTGCTATAATTCAAAAAGAAAATAGAAAATTACTCAAGAATTATAGACAAGTCAGTTTGACCTATATCATTTCTGAAGTTCTTGAATCAATTATAACACATAATTACTGAGTATTTTAAAAGAAATAAGTTATTCAGCAAAAAGCAACTGTGCAGTGCATGTTGTGTGGCTATGGAATTATAATATGCACATGGCTTGACAGTGTGGATTTGAAAGATTAAAGAATACCTAGTCAGGCACCATTCGCCACAGAGCGGGATCCAAACAATGAGTAATAATAATAATAATAAAATGGGAAATAAGGCCCCTGAAAAGAAAATAAAGAATAATAAATGATAACTTACCCAATTGAAGTCTCACTGAAGTCTGAAGAATGGCTACAGGTGGAAGACGATAGCCTGAAGAGGAACAAACCACTATCCTATGCAAATAATGAGAGACGAACATATTATGAGTAGTCCACGTGCCCAATTGAACAATTTCCTCAATATGGATGATGAAGATCAGACACCAGATGGAATCTGATGAGAAGATACCCGGAACAAAAAACGAGAGGAAAATGATAAAAAGTAATAAGCCAATCCTAAATGGAAGGAGAAAGATCATGAACAGAGGAAGGCTCCCAAGGAATAAAGAGGCAGGAACAAATACCATGGAAGGAAGCCGTGCAGGCAATATAACAACAAAGAGCACGTACAAGACATAGAAACCTAGAATAAAGGTGGGAAGTTGAAAGGAAATCGGTAAAAAGGAGGAGTTAACCTCCCTAGCCACCTAAGTTTTGGGGAAGAAAGAATGATCCAGATAAAGAAGAATATATGTAGGATGATAAAGAGGATGTGAACATGTCAGACCTCTGACATCCACAGGCTAAGAGAGGAAGGAAATAAGTCTTAAGGGAAAAATGAAACAAGGAAAGTCATTTGAAAGGAGGCAAAGTGAGGTGGTGAAATACCACATTAACATTCCAGTCTGGAAGGGTAGCCCGTCACAGTGGACGATGAATCCAGAAGGAACACATCAACAGGGAAAGGTTATGGGGAAGTAAATACCCTATGGTATCTGGAAAAACAAAAGACATGGGACAAAGCCACCCGATAACCTGAGATCAAGGAGACAGAAGACCCCTAATCGAAAAGCTAAGTAAGAAATTCCGCAACATGAGAAACAATTGGTCGAACAACAGAAAACCCTACCAACTGCGGAAAATATTCCATTTACATTGATAACCTTCCATGGAGGAAGAGCAAATGAAATGGGCCAGAAATTAAACTACATGCCAGAACAAGCCGGATCACCTCGCCAAGGGCCAGATAAAAACCAAGTGTGAAGACAGAGGACATGAAGGCCTGGATGAAGCAGCAGTGTGGTTGATGAAGAAGGGAGGGAGACAGAGGTAGAGGTAATGGAGGGGGTAAGTTGGAGTTGGAGAAGCCATGGAAACTGCAGCAGAGCCAGCCATAAGGCATAATCAGAAGGACTTGACATGGAGTGGTAAGGATGATTGAAATCCCCTGGTGAAGAAGATGAATGGGAGGATAAACATATAGGTATTTTTTTGTCCAATCCTGGCTGAAAGCATCAACAGCCAAGAGAATGAGGATGAGGGACCAGAGAACAAAACAGAGGTATTTTGTGGTTGAGGGATATGGCCAAAGCATCTGTGTGAGGAGTACCCCACTGAAGGCAAAGCCACTGGAAAACCAGAGGATTGAGAGACCACTCCATAGGATAGATTTTGTCTGAATGGAAAAGCTGATCTGCAACCAGATTGAAAGCAACTAAAACATGACATGCAATGATATGAATATCTCACATGTGGGCCCCAAAAACAAGAACTCATGTATGAATACAGAGGGATTGAGAACAGGTGCCACCTTGATGATTGAAATAAGCAACCACTGTAGAATTGTCAGAATGGATCATTACCAGACAATTTCTGGCCAGATGGAAAAAATTAACCAAAGCCCAATGTACAACGAGAAGCTCCAAGATGTTAATTTGAAAAGATCACTAGGCCGCAGATCAATAACCCAACAACACCTGTTAATCAACCCACGTTCCCATCCCTGAAGAGATACATTTGTGAAAATGTGTAAATAAGGACAAGGAGGAGGGAAATCTGCTTACATGTGAATCTTGTCCAACCACCATTGCCGATCATCTACTAAGGTAGGAGGAAGGGTTATAAGAGCCTGCAAAGGATCACGTGTTAGATTCCACTGGTCATGAAGAGCTCACCGAAGAGCCCGCATATGAGCACAACCTGAGGGGATAAGTGCTGCCATGGAAAGATCATATCCTCAAAAGTAATAG